GAGTTGAACATTATGCAGTCATCAGTGGATACCCCATTTCTTATCTTATGACATACAGGTGGTCACAATGAAGCTGCTGAAGATGATTCTGCCTTGGACACTACCCTGAGTAACTCTTGCAGAAATGCCCTGGAGCAGAGATGACTGACCTCCAACAATCATCCTTTGTGTCAGGTATGATTCCGACCAGAGTTGCCCATCGACTCCTTGAATGCCACCCCCTTAAAATGTGGCCATAGGCAATCATAGGCAGTCAATCCCACCCTACAGGCAGCTGAGACGAATTATCCACTCAGCACTTTTGAGTAAAGATTGTTGCAAATGCCTTATCTTTTGCAATGACCTGCGGGGCTTCCCCACCTTTAAACATGGGAATATTTGTGAAGCATCCTCCAAGGACTCATCCACCATTCACAACTGAGATGTGATAGGACTGCACTAATCCATTAGTTGCAGCCTTGCTTTGCTCTATCCACCAGTTGCTGGTGATGCTGTGTGGCACATGGCGAAGATCAGTCTGATCAGAAATAAAAGGCTTACCCACTTCAAGTTCCTGCTTGGATTTAAACATTGACTCCTCTACAGCAGTTTTAACCTGCAAAGATAAAAACCATTCAGAACAAATCCACTATTTCAAATTAAACTCTTTTTCAAGTAAGATCAAATCATGGAATGCAAAAATACAAAAGACTTCATTAGATTTATTATTTAACCTTAATGGATATGGACAACAAGATGTGAGCAAGTGCTTCTGGGAAAGAGACAAAAATGTCCCAATAGGATTGAGAAATCCCGAACAAACAAATACAACCAATGGAGGATGGCTTTATTTGCTGGAAAAAAAACGCCATCCATCTTGGAGGCTGACGGGACAAGTAAAAAGTAAAGATGACAAATCAGTTCTCCAGATAAGGGACTTTTAAATTACATAGAGTGTAATCTTCAAATCAGTATCATGGTGAGAGAAAACTTCCTAGTTATTATCCCAATGTGTTTGCAAGAATTTGGCCACATTTCTCAATTAAAACAACTTACCACACTTAAATAATTAGCTGTGAAACACCTAAAAGATTGGAAATGTAACATTTTTGAGAGTCAATCTTTTCCTGCACAGGGCAAATTTGAGCACAAAAACATCCAAGGTAATTGGTCACTGAAGCATGACAGGTAAAGAAGTTGAATGTGATCAAGTTGTTGCCTTTTACAAAAAAAAGTATAGTGGACAGTCTAATGTTACTACTAGCCAGCAAAAAGTCTTCCCATCAGTATTAATTTTATAGTCAAAGACATTTTCATACCATTTTGACTTTTGATTCTGATGTTAGACTCTCTCTTGCCTTCATTGCTATCTTCTGCTTACAGTTGCCCAGTAATGGTTTTGGTTTTGTATATTTGGTAGTCACCTCTCCTGCAAAAATATAAGTTTTCATAATGTATTTAAAGAAAGGACAGAACAAAAAAAAAAACAAGAGTAGCGTGATCCTCAACTACAGAAACACCAAATATCATGGGAATTTTTCATAAATGTGAACTTGGCAGTCTCCTCAGAATTAGGAGCAGCCACAAAACTATAATAACAGAAAAATGTTAAATTGCAGTACCCAGAAAATTGTCGTTTTTCAGTCTGTCCTAATGAATGAATCATCTAAGGCAGAAAACAATACAGCAACCAATTACTGGACACAATTTACTAAATGGACAATTGAAAGTTGTTGACAGCATACACAATTCACTGAACTAGATTGTAAAAAGGCAGCTATAAAAGAAAAAAAGAAACTAAAAACAAAGATTTAAAGTCATAGGGTCGCTGGCCTCATTTTGTATAATGGAGCAGAAAAACCTTGTAACCTTTCGTTAAAGCCAAAAGAAAATGCCAACTTTCAATTTATGTCCCAGTTGCAATAGTACCATGACAAATGAATCAGCAAAGACCACAAGATATAGGAGCAGAATTAGGCCATTCTGCAGAGTCTGACATTTGATCATGGCTGATATGTTTCTTAATCCCACTCTCGTCTTCTCTCCTTAACCCTTGATCCCCTTGCTAATCAAGAATTTAAATTTAAATACACTCAATAACTTGAAAATATCATGAAGGTAATCCCAAAACAAGTGAAATCACTCAACATACAACAAATCAATCTTGTTCTAAAATATTCAACTCTTTTCTTTAGATCTTGAAAAGTCAGCAGTCCCTTTGACAGGTATATAAAAGGTCCGAGGAAGCAGAGTATGACTTATTCAAGTCAAACTAAAATGAGTATTTGAATAGACATTGGAACCCAAGGGCGCTAATACGGTTGCTTCACATTTTAAAGTACATAATCAAATGAACGGATGAGTGCTCAAGTCCCATTTATTTTTTCCCCCAAATGGATTCTGTAAACAACTTTAAAGTATTGATTTCAATAATTGAAAAACAAAAGAATGACAGTCAAGCATTCAATATACAAAGATAACGCACCTGCTATAGGATGCAACAGTTTTGAATTTGTTTCTGGACCCCAACAGGAAACTTTCCTGAAAACAAACCTACAAGCAAACTGTAAAGCCAATAAAGGATTACCCTGAAAGGCAAGATATCTTGCATTTGAGCAAAAAGTAAATAAGTGGAGCTCACCATTTACAGGGTACTACTGTTATCAAGCTAAAAAGACAGGCATTCCACCCATCACATGAAGGAATAATAGTGCAACAATTCAGCACCAGTAAGATATACATGGACTGTACGCTGCACGGATCATATAGAACATGTCCCTTCAGCTGTTCACAGCAAGCTTGGCAAGCCTGAAGACTTTACTTCCCAGGGCCAGCTTGCAAAACTCCACTGTCCAACATTAAATGTGATTTTGTAATCCGGTAACATCCATTACACAGAGTGTGCTAAGTAGTACACCAACAACCATGTTAAGATTAAAAACAAAGTTGCTGGAAAAGCTCAGCAGGTCTCGAAGCATCTGTGAAGGAGAAAACAGAGTTAACATTTCGGGTCCGATGACCCTTCCTCAGAACGGAAGAAGGGTCACCTGACCTGAAACGTTAACGCTGTTTTCTCCTTCACAGATGCTGCCAGAGCTGCTGAGCTTTTCCAGCAACTTTGTTTTTGTTTCTGATTTACAGCATCTGCAGTTGTTTTGGTTTTTATTAACCATGTTAAGATGATTAGTTGGATTTGCAGTATGGCACATGGGTCCTCAAAGAAACATCTATTAATATACAGGGCCCTATTCTCTGCAGATAGAAAAATAACTGATTGAACTCATACCCGCTGTCTTTGATCTCTTCGGGGATGGATATAGACCTCGCTTCTGTTCTACTGCACTGTTTGTGCGTTTTATGCCAGTCACAACATTTTGGGAGTCCAAAACTAAAGGCTTGTTTGCTTTTCTGTTGACATGAGGGCCAGCCATACCTGCATTAGATAAATTTTAAAATAGTAGTAAACTCAAAAAAAAAAGCAAGAAATAAATAAAGCCCAATATAAAAACTGGAGATGCATGGAGGAAAAGAAGATTCACAAATGGTTATTTTCCTGCTCCCTATCCAAGTTGAACGGAACAAACAGCTGCTTGAATGATGGAGATTTGAGGCACAAATTAAAAAATTGTTTATAGCTCAAAATTAATTCTGGTTAAGGTTCAATTCTCTTGCCTACAGGAGGATGCCCCAGATTTAATTGGAAGTGCAAACAATGTTGGCATCAATCTTATAGTTGAGCTGGACATTGCTGAACTAAGTTTTACTATTATATTGGATGCTAAATGAAGTATTACAACAAAATTGACTGGTTAAAATGTTAAAGTGCAACCAGATGGTATAATCACTCAAAGGCAAAATGGCATATTGCAAGGATAATCTACAAAAGAACAAAAAAAAAGTGTCTGAAATGCAGCATAATACATTAAAACCAATAATTACTGGAGACACTTCTAGATTAATTCAAATCTATTGTTTGATATTAATAAAATGTTGAATAATAGTCTAATTACACATGGCAATTTGAACAAAGTTAGAATGGCAGGTGACTTGTATATAGATTAACAACTCTGGACAGCTGTAAATTTAGTTGTCCAGAACAACTGGATTTGTTCAGTCCCAAAATATTGCCTTTAGCGAGGAAGGAACAACATTGATTATCTTTTTCACTTCCCAGAGTACTGCTGTCAGTATTTTGGCATGTGTGCCTTTATCCTTATTCTAAATTCAGATCTTAAAAATGCAAACAGATGACTGTTGGCTACTCCTTTGAAAGGTTTATTTTCTAAAAGAAAAGCAAGGTTAGACAGTTCTTCCTGAACAGTGACCAAAGCCAACATTTTTCAAAAACAGATGACTGCAAATTCCTACGGTGCTAATAGAAAGATGTTTATACTGTGCGAATAGGTAGAGAAACCATGCAAGGGCAGCAACTTTGTTTTCAGATCATAAATAAAAAAATAGGATTGAACAAGTTTCAGAGAACACCAGGCAGGGGTTTAAAAAAAGGTTTATATAGTGTCTCGTCTAGGAGTAGTAGTTCAGGGTAGTTTAAGAAATCAGATACTTCAGCAGTACAGTTTAGTTCATGAATCTGCATGAGCCTGTAGTAGGAAGCAATAATCGAACAGAGCATTAAGTATTGTGGTTCAGCATATTTTTCCAGTATCTTTCCCCAATTTATTTGATATGCATTAACACATTACAATAGTTACATCATACCACATTTACCTATGTTGAAAAGTTCTGATTTCAACTCTGCTTTTGTTTCCTGCACAGTTAATTTTGATGATACCACGGAAGATGTTCTCTTCACTCCAGGTATCTTTGAGATAGCTTTACTTAAAAGTTGAGTAGATTTGATTTTAGGAGACATCTGAAAGAAAACACAGGATTTATGAACAAAATATTTCCCCACTGAAAGAATTATTCTATTTCCAGAAACTAATTTTAACACCATGATTAGATTATATGCAGACACACAAATAGCAATCCCAAAGCTCTTGTCTCAGTGGTTCTGCCCCTACTTGTGGTCTAGATTCAAGTTGCACCTATCCTGGAGGAGGTTCATAACATATCCAAACAAGTTGATTGAAGATAAATATAAATAGCAAGTTTCCAGGGACCTGTTGTCAAGCCCTAATTGACCCAAAAGATTAAAATTCACATTACGAACAAGTGGAACATCAACCACATTTCCAAAAGCCACAAGTACTGAAATCTGGAAACCTTAAAGAAACAATGCATCTGGCAAATGTAGAAAAATAATAATAATCTGCAGAGGGAGAGGAAAATAAAAAAAACTGGGGGATGAAAAAAAAAAAAAGTGTTATTCCTGGCTCAGATGTCTGACTAGTTGTGAATCAATTAAAACTTTGTACTACTTGTACAGTGTTAGACACTATAAAGAAGTGATTTGCTTTAGTGAATTATAAAATGGCGTACAAGAAGGTTGAGAAAATACAACTTACTTTGGTTGAGACTCCGATGTGGTATGATGGAAGCTTGTTATTTCCTGAAATTTGTCCAGTTGCTACTGCACGGCTCAGTCTTCCTGAAAGCGGACGAGGTTTCGGAAGGCACAACTTGGAAAAGCCAGGCGGTTGAATTGAAGGCTTTCCTCTTTCCGCAGAAGAGCCTATTTTACACATCTGAGCTAAAGGTGGTACAATATCTTTTTGAGCTCCAGATTTGCAGACTTCAGACACTGATGCTTCACTAATATTTTTCTTTCTGGCTGCCGGGAGATAAGAAACATGCTTTAAGGAATTTTCATTTCCCATTTTGGTTTGCTGCAATTGCTGGCTGGATGCATTAGATGGTTTTCTACCACAGAATTTAGTTCCAGGAACATCAGTGCCAGAGGTTCTGGCAGCATCTTTGGTCCTGTCTTGTTCATTTGAGCACTTGCCGACTCCACGTACATCATCCTGAAGGGTGGAAGATGAGGCCAGGAAAGAATGGTCAAGTTGTAGGTATTCTGGAAAATTCTGTTTCCCAGCAAGGCATGGAGTAGAAATGCAGTTTGGAGCCCATTCCGAACTCACTAGATCATGAAATGAATCTGCATGCTCACAGATACTTTGTTCCTTTTTCTGGGAGATGTCTATGAAAGGGAGACTTCTTTCGACTGCACAAACACCTTCACACAATTCTGCAGAAATGCAGACATCTTCACCTTGGTTTACTTCACTCGATCTTGTCTCTGTACTTGTAGAAACACTGTCCTTCTTGAAGTTCAGAGACAAATTGGAGTAATTATTTTTGCCACTCGTCTCTACTTGCTCCAACTCTGACCTGGAAGCCAGAGCATCATCTTTTCTCACAAGCTTAAGATTCTTGGGAGTCAGTCTGACTTCATTAGAGTCCGACGATAGAGACAGCTTGCAATCGGCCAAGTTGGTTGTTTTGTTTGGGTTATTTGCCAAACTGCCTTCACGTTTTGGTGCATCAAATGTTGTATCCTTGTGGCTGATAGTTGAATGGGATAATTGATCTTGGTTGGTTGTTGATAGAGACAGCTCACAATTAGACAAAGTATCATTTGCAAGACAGCCTTCATGTTTTGATGCATCAAATGTTGCATTTTTATGGTCATCCAGAGTCATGGTGGCATTTAATTGAATCCCTTCCCTCGTAGATACAGGCAGCTTGCAATTGAAGTCATTTCCCAAATCTTTATATTTTGAGGTATCGAAAGTTGTATTTTTGAAGTCATCCACATTCATAGTTACATTTAATTTCTCCAAATCTTGAGGAGACACGGACTGCTTAAAGTTAGATAAGGGAGAAGTCTGGAGACCTTTTCCAAAACTGCTTTCATGCTTTGATAAATCAAATGTTACATTTTTATTATCTCTCACTGTTATTGTATCATTCAACTGGATTAAATCTGTTGACAAAGCAAGAGATGGTGTGCAACCTAACAAATCAGGTGGCTCAAATTCATTTTCAAAACTACTTCTGTGCTTTGGCAAAATTTGTTTTTCATCACCTGACATACTTCTTTCACTCAATAACAAATCTACCTTCGAAAGAGACAAATTGGAGTTAGACTGGATCTTGGTTGGCATAAAAGTCGAAGAGGCATCATTCTTTGCACCTAAACATGTGGTTGATGCATCACTCAACACTTCAGGTACATTTAACTGGATATACTCTACAGTGGATGGAGGGGACTTGCTCAGGACATTGCTGGAATAAACCTCATGCTTTAGTGCATTACCTTTCTCATCATTTAAGTAACCTTCTGTTACAGTTTCATTGAATTGTATCAAATTTCCCAAAGGGGACAAAGGCAGAGCTCCAGTCTCAATATAGTCATTATTCATTCTAGTACCAACAGGCAAGTCTCCAGTTTTGATTTCTGCTTCTGCAAGCTTTTGTTGACTACTCATATCCAAGATATTTTCTTTAAATTTGGAGATACAGAGAAGTGGCGATTTTGCTGGAGAGGTGTTTGAACAGCAGGAGTAGACAGAACTATCTAATGGTACAGGTTCCTCATTTATCATGGAAACACTAGTCACTGGAATTGGATTTACTGTACCAACTGTAAACCAGGGACAGATCTCACTTTTGTCATTTAAGTTAGCAGCTATATGTAGACATTCTTCTGCAATGAAACTGGTAAATAAAGGTGATAAGTTACTTGATTCCATAAACGGAAGAGGGCAAAGGTTTGATTCTGTTTGCTCCTGTTCAGGTCTACCTTTAGAAATACCAATGTTGGGCAAATTTTGATGTACCATCATCATATCCAAATCTTCTTTCTGAGGAATCTGCCTCATAGATGCATCTTCAGAACTTGGCAGGCAATAAGTTGCATTCAAAGAATTTTCTTTTGAGACTGCGGCTGCTTTGAATTTGGTATCTGCTTTTTTATGCAACTTTTGAGTTGGATTTACAGTAAAGGAGCCCGTGCTGAATCGGCCCTTTTTGACAGGGGAGACACTTGGTGCGCTTGGCAATTGCTTTTCAAAAGCTTTCAAGTTGCCAATCGTCTGTTTTCCTAATTCAGGCAGCGGCATTTTTGAGCAACCTTGCGCTGGACTTTTTCTGGTCAGGAGTGAACGTCTGCGTTGTGATGCTGCTTCACTAGTATTGCTAGTAGTTGGGGAAGCTACCGCATTACTTGAGGTCCTAGTGGAAACACACATTGAAGCACGACGTTTGGGTGCAGCTAAAGAGGACTTCCTCGAATTAAGTCTGGATAGTGGTGATGGTTATTAGCATGGTTTTGGGTGGATGAGGAGCAAGGGGCGAAAAAAAGGAAAAGAGCATTAGCTGATCAGCTATAATTGTGTTTTAAAACTGTACAGAGATTGAGGCAAGGCAAGGCAAGCAATAATTGAATATTTAAGGAGGATGTTTCAAAGAAACAATATTGTAATGATAAAAATGTGTACATTAAATAGCAAAATCTGAAGGTCAGCTAATTATTTAATGCAACAAAACCCAAAAAAGTTAAGGTTACTTTCAGAATTACTTCTATTGGCTACAAGACAGGGAAAAAAAAAGCAGAAAAAGGCTTTCCTCATTCTAATTTGACCTATCTTTGAAAAACCAGGAATTTGCCAAAATTTAACAAAAATACTTAGGAACGTTGGAAGCAGATGAGACATGCATTGGGACACGAGACGTTCATTCTTCACCTTAGTGGGTTGGGAAGGAGAGTTAAAGGAAACAGAGGGTTAGAAATAGAAAATACAGGGTTCAAATTCAAACAAGAAAGGCAAGGTTTCAGGAAGGACAAGATTAGTGGAAAAGATAGTTAGAGGAAAAAAAAAGTTGGTGAGAAAAAAATATAATGGCAAAAGTATCAATAAGTTTCCCTGAAGCCTCACCACAAAACTTCATCAAGGAGTTGGAATCATTAACAATATACAAAGACAAGGTCAAAACAGGCGATATGAGGAAAAAAAAGGATTGTAGAGACAGAGCAATAGGTGAAAGTATAAAATAATAATGAGGGGGGCAAAAAAGTCAAAGTCATACACACACAGATGGAAATTAGTGGGAACACATTTCAGGCACATCAGATACTCTAGATTCGGAGCATCTCGCTAGTGCATTAAAATGGAGACAAACTGAAATTTGGTGTCCCAGCTCGGAACTAAGTTTGGAAGGATGGTGGCATATGCAACCTCTATAGGAATGTAGGACTTAGGAGCAGGAGTAGGCTATTCAGCCTTCTAGTCCACTTTTTTTTTTTTATATCCAGCAGTGCTCTTACACATCTGAAATTTTTATTTCCCCACCCCCACCTCCATGTATTAACTACCATCAGCAAATCACCCAACTTTTCAATTGAACAATTTTACACGCAAAGCCTGTTAAGGGCAATACTAGTGTCAACTGTGAAAGAGTGGTGGTGGTAGTCGTCTGGGTTTGGGAAGTTGGGGTGTTGGAGGAGTGTCTATACCAAAATGGAGCTATAGAATCATTAAGTCAGATGTACACCACAAAAACAGGCCCTTCAGTCCAACTATTCATGCCAATCAGATATTTTGAATTAATCTAGTCCCATTTGGCAGCATTTAGCTCATCTCTCTCTAAATCCTTCCCATTCATATACCCATCCAGGTGCCTTTTGAAACGTTGTAATTGTACCAGTTCTCCACCACCTCCTCTGGCAGCTCATTCCATACCACCCTCAGCATGAAAATGTTGCTCCCAAGGTCTCTTTTAAGTCTTTCCCCTCTTACGTTAAAACAAATGCACTCTAGTTTTGGACTCCCCTACCCTGTGGAAAAGACCTTGACTCTTCACCCTATCCATGCCCGTCATGCTTTTTATAAAAATTTCCATAAGGTCACCCTTCAGCCTCCAATGCTCTAGGGAAAACAGCCCCAGCCTATTCAGCCTCTCCCTGCTCAAATCCTCCAACCCTGGCAACTCCACTGTCAATCTTTCCTGAACCCTTTCAAGTTTCACAACGTCCTTCCTCTGGCAGGGAGACCAGAATTGAACACAGTGTTCCAAAAGTAGCCTAACCAATGTCCTGTACTCAATGCACTGACCAATAAAGGCAACACTCCCCAGGACCTTACTATTAACTGTACAAGTCCTGCCCTGATTTGACCTACCAAAATTCATCACTTTACATTTATCTAAATTAAACTCCATCTGCTACTCCTCAGCCCACGTGCTTATCTGATCAAGGTCCCATTGCACTCTGAGGTAACCTTCTTTGCTGTTCACTACGTCACCAATTTTGGTGACATCTGCAAACTTACTAACCATACCTCCTATACTCACATCCAAATCATTTATTTAGATGACAAAAAGATGACCGAGCACCAGTCTAAGAAGCAACCCTCCATCACTCTCTCTTACCTTCAAGAGGTTTGTATCCACATGGCTAGTTCTCCCAGTATTCCATGTGATCTAAACTTGCCAACCAATCTACCGTGTGGAACTTGGTCTAATGCTTTACTGAAGTCCATACAGATAACCTTCACTGCTCTGCTCAATCTTCTTTGTCACTTCTTCAAAAAAACTCAATCAAGTTAGTGAGACAACTTTGCACACAAACCCTAATCAGTTCTTGCCTTTCTAAGTCCTTACATTTAAATCCTTTCCCTCAGAATCCCCTTCAACAACATATCCACAACTTCTGTCGACACTTCCACCGCTGCCACCACTTTTGCTTCTACCTACATGACCATCCACATACACACATCCCCACTCCTGAGACAGTCTCCACCCCCACTCCCAGCTCTACACCTCGTCCCAGCTCCAAGCCCTGCCAGGCATTCACCATTCCCCAACCCCCTCCAAGACCTACCCCTCACTGAGGCTGAACGATCTGTCCTCAGCAAAAGACTCACCTTCATTCCCCTGTGCCCACACAATGAAATCCGTTCATGTCTGAATGTTGACTTTTTTTGCTGCCTCTGCACCTATTTCTTTGACAGGGAGTCTAACCCATCTTTTGCCAACCCCTTCTCCTGCCTCCAACAAGCCTCATCCTCCTGGACACCACCTCACAGCCTCCTATCCTTCCTTGACCTCTTCATCTCCAACTGCTGTCATGGTACCGATTGCCTTAATCTCTCCACCCCTCCCCAACACAATGTGCTACCCTCTGCTCCAGCCCCAGTCTCCCCATCAAACCTACGAATAAGGGTGGGGGTGCAGTAGTGGTATGGCGTACTGACCTCTACATCATGGAGGCCAGGTGCCAACTCTCTGACACCATCTCTTACCACCCCCTCGATTATGATCCCACCCCTGATCACCAAACCATCATCTCAGACCATCCATGACCATATCACCTCATGCAGATGTCCCACCCATGGCTTCCAAGCTTACTGTTCCCCAACCCTGCACTGCCCGGTTCTATCTCCTTCCCAAAATCCACAAGCCTGACCGCTCCTGGCCCACTGAACTTATCTCCACATGGCTTGACTGTCTTTTCACCACCCCCACGGTCCAGAAACTCCCTATGTTCCGAACACAATCCACACCCTCCACCTCTTCCAGGACTTCCAATTCCCCAACTCCCAAAACCTCATCTTCACCATGGACATCCAGTCCCTGTACACTTGTATCCTCCACACAGATGGCCTAGAAGTCCTCCACTTCTTCTCCCGCAGGCACAACCAGTTACCCCTCCACCAACAACCTCATCTGCTTAACAGAATTATCCTTACCCTCAACAACTTTTCCTTCAACTCCTCCCACTTCCAACAAACCAAAAGGGTGGCTATGGGCACCCATATTGGTCTGAGCTATGCCGGCCTCTTTGCAGGGTACGTGGAACAGTCCCTCTTCCATCGGCGCCATTCCTCACCACTTCCCCCGCTACATAGGCACTGCCTCGTGCTCCCATAAGGAGTTGAACACTTCAACTTTACTAACATCTTTCACCCCAACCTCAATTTCACTTGGACCATCTCCAATACCTCCCTCCCCTTCCAGGGCCTGTCTCCATATCTGGTAACCGTCTCAGCACTGACATCTATTTCAAATCCACCGACTCTCACAGCTACCTTAACTACACCTCCTCTCACCCACCCTCCTGCAAGAATGCGATCCCATACTCCCAATACCTGCACCACCGCCACATCTGCTCCCATGCTGCAACATTCCACTCCTAGACATCCCAGAGGTCCTCCTAATTCAAGGACCACAACTTCCTCTCTCTATTAATTGAAAATGCTCTCAACCACATCTCTTGCGTTTCCCGCACTTCTGCCCTCAAATGTGCTCACCACTCCCCCCCCCCCCCCCCCAACCAACAAAAATACAGAAACCCCCTGGTTCTCACATACCACCCCACCAACCTCTGCATCCAGCGCATCATCCTCCACTATTTCCGCCACTGACAATCTGACCTCAGATATTTCCCTCCTGACTCCTATTTGCCTTTTGTAGGGACCACTCACTCCACAACTCTGTTCGCTCCACACACCCCACCACACCCAGCACCTGTCTCTGCAACCACAGGAAGTGCTACACATGCCCCTACACCTTCCCTCTCACCTCCATCCGTCAGGGTTTCACCTGCACATCCTCTATTCTATCCATTACTCCCAATGTGGCCTCCTCTACATTGGTCAGACAAAACGTAGACTCAGTGACAGATTTGCAGAGTACCTGCACTCTATACTATAAATCGACAACACATTCTGGTTGCTAACCATTTTAACTCAATTCCCCCTCCCACTTCCTTGGTGGCATGTTTGTCCTGGGCCTCCTCCAGTGCCACAATGACACCCCACACAAACCGGAGGAAGAATGCCTCATTTTCCACCTCAGGAGCCTACAGCCCGATGGCCTAAACATAGAATTTACCAGTTTTAAAATCTCCCAACCCCCGGCCTCATCCCATGTCCAACCCTCCCTCTCATTCCTGCTTCCTTGACCTGACACTACCTGTCCATCTCCTTCCTCACTTGTCTGCTTCACCCTTCCCACTGACCAATCCCCACAACCCCTACCCACTTCCACCTATCGCCATCCCATCTACCTTCCCCTTGCCCCACCCCTCTTCCTTCTATTTATTTCCCAGCTCGCTTCCGCCTCCCTAGCCCTGATGAAGGCTTTAGGTCCAAAACATGACTCTCCTACTTCACTGATGATGCCTGACCTGCTGTGTTCCTCCAGCTCTACACCGTATCGACCTTTATCCACAACTGATGTCAGGCTCATTGGCTTATAGTTTCCTGGCTTTTCCTTACCACCTTTCTTCAATAGCGGCATCACATTAACCAACCTCCAGTCTTCCAGCACCTCACACATGGCTATTGATGGTCCAAATATATTGGAAGGCTCTCCACAGCATGCCTGAAGGAATCAAGAGTATTGATGGACACATGCTCTCCCTCCAAGGGCACTCAGACAAACGTTGCTGCAGAAGAGGAGCAGACATGCCAGGTATGACTTGCTCGACAACCTGCTGTCTGGAACTGTTATTAGCCAACTTGACCAAGCTTAGGAGAAGACCCACAAGGGGGTCCTCTGACTTGCCCACACCCCTCACACCAGATGCCTAACGAACAAGAGTGTGGGGTTGAAATATAACCAAAAGCACAAAAGATTTTTTTCAAACAACTAAAAAGCTCACTATTCCATTCAATAAATCATAGCTGATAGAGTGTGCTCAATTCCAGATTCCGGTCTGGCCTCTCAGCTCCCCGACTACCAGAAAAAAAATCCACCCCAGCCTTAACTAAACCCAATGATGCAGCCTCTATTGCTTTCCAAAGAAGAGTGTTCCACTAACAACTCATTTATCTTAAAAATTGTTCTTAAACTATTTCCTAGTTTAAATTTCTTCAACATGGGCAGAAATCTTTCTGGCATCCTCCTTCTAAAAGTCTCTTTAAAGGTAGTATTTTTAATATAAAGTTATGCCCTTAGCTCAAGGAGGCACTGTAGAAGGTTCACCTAAAACTGCTTCCACAGGCTGTTACCATTTTTCAAATAAGGAGTCCGCAACTGTACAGAGTACTCTAGATGTGATCTCACCAAGGTTCCCTTTTATGATTTCAAGATAATCAAGTGTCAGATACAAAGAGAACTGGATATCCTTCAGCCTCATATTATGATCTATACATGATGTGAACTTCACCCCAAGTTTACAACCGTTGCTCTATTTACATTTTCAAGGTAGGCTGACTAGTTATCATTAACAAACACAGAACGATGGAGAAACTCAGCAGTTCTGGTAGCATTTGAGAAGAGATAAACACATAAATGTTGAGCCTGCAATGTCTCCTCTTCAGAATGTTCCAAAGAATCATCCCTGACTCAACGTTCTGACTTCCAGCATCCACAACATTCTGTTTTTATAACTAATTATCATAGTTGAGAACCCCAGAATGTTTAAATTTTTTGGTCACAGTACATTCAAGGCACTAAATGCAGACTGAATGGCTGCTTTGCAGAAACCTCCAACCCAATCCAGGAGCACAACCCCAACCAAAAACAGAAGTTGCTGTAAAAGCTCAGCAGGTCTGGCAGCATCTGTGAGGGAAATAAAGAATCAGAGTTAACATTTTGGGGCTGGTGACCCTTCCTCAGAACTCCAACCTTCTGCTTATAGGAGCAAGTTACTGCAGATTCCGGAATCTGTATTGAAAATAGTAAAAAATGCTTGAAATCACAGCAGGTAAGCCAGCATCCATGCAGAGAGAGCAAGCTAAATGTTTGGAGTCTAGATGACTGAGCTGATGTGAAAAGTGGAGAGCACAACATTTATGCAATAGTAGGGGTGAGGGGGAAGAATGGCAGCTTGCTGGGGGAGACAAAGCTCTGAAGAAGAGTTTCAGCCCAAAACATTGACTTACCTGCTCCTTGGATGCTGTCCGACCTGCTGTGCTTTTTCAGCCTCACATCTACAGACTCTGACTTCCAGCATCTGCAGTCCTTACTGGCTCTCTGTTTATAATGCAGATTTAGTGATTGGAATGTGAGAATGGCAGAACAATGGTGCATCTAACTGACAGACTGGGGAAAAAAATACAGATATCCCCACTGGAGTGGGGATGAGGGGAGAGAGGACATGGTGACAGAATGTAACAAGCTAAAAGAAAAGGAAGGAACAGGAGTGAGTTGACAATCTGAAGGTGTTGAACTCAACATTAAGTCTAGTAAAGTGCCTAGTCTGAAGATGAGATGTTGCTCCACAGGTTTGCGCTGAGATTCCCGACCTTTTGCTTGCTTACTCTTTCAGTCTACTTTATTTGCAAGTTCGCTTCCCATTCTCAGCCTGCTGCAGCATTTCAGCTAATCCGCAATGGCTACATCAATCTCACCTTCAATTAAGCCATTCAAGAGGCAAGTAGACAGTTAGTTGAAAAGATAGAAAGATGCAGGGTTGGGGAGAAGGCAGGGGAATGGCAATAGGAGGTGCTGATTCAGGAGAGATATTGCGGACAGTTTGGGCTGAAAAGCGTCCTTCAGAACTCTTAACGATTCAGCTACCGGAAAGGTGATACGTAAATTGCTGCCATGTGAGGGAGTCACTCTTTCAGCCAGTTCTGAGGAAGGGTCACCGGACCCGAAATGTTAACTCTGTTTTCTCCTTCACAGGTACTACCAGACCTGCTGAGCTTTTCCAGCAACTTTGTTTTTGTTCCTGATTTATAGCATCCACAGTTCTTTTGGTTTTTACTCATTCAGCCAACCCAACACTTGTTTCTTCCTCCAACCGGGAGCCAGTATTGGAATACTAACCTTGCCGACGTGGGTCTGCCAGGTAATTCCATGACCGGAGAGCGGGTGAGGTCTACACCGATGATCAACTATCGATCAAGACTCAAGTCAAAGCAGCGAAAACCCAAAACTCCTGAGAATATACGGAAAGCGCCGCCATTTAAATCGAGCCCCGCCTACTCAGTGCAGGTCTCGCGAGAGCCGCCTCAACGGTCACCAATTTTCAAATTCCCGGCGCCGGTCGCTACGGAAACGAGTGGCGGTTGGCCCTTCCCCTCGAGGAAGTCGTTGTTTTAAATGGCAGCCTGCCTGAGCTTTGGGCTTCAATTGGTTGGACTTGAAGGACTTTGATGGGCTTATTGTCGGGACGGTGAGTGTTCGGGAAGTTAATTTTTTTTGAGTTTGCATCCTCCAAATAAGGTGAGATGGTGACACCCCCTCCTCCTCTGCTGTCACATTCCAGCAGGCTCTATTCCATTGCGAAACGTTCGGTTATTCTTATGAGAGACGTTTACTGAGGCTTTGGTCTGCTGGATCATTCATTTACTTTGCTATGCCTCGCCACCAAACTTTCAAGATGAGAGAGAACGGGGAAAAGACTGTTAAAATAAAAGCCAAGACCCGCTAGAAATCAGAAACAATGACAGCAATTGCTGGGAAAACTCAGCAGGTCTGGCAGCATCTGCGCAGAGAGAAAGCAGAGTTAACGTTTCGGGTCTAGTGACACTTCAAGGACTAGACCCGAAACGTTAACTTTGCTTTTTCTCCACAGATGCTGCTAGACCTGCTGAGTTTTATCTACAATTCCTGTTGTTAAAACATACCGTAAAGCTGTGTGTTAAGTATATTCAAAAGTGAGATAGAAAGGTTTTTGATCACAAGGGACAAAGTTTTTGACAAACTGTTAAAGCATTTGATTTTTGTTTTGAGGAGCTGGTTAGGTGTATAGCTGAAGGTGGTGCAGTTGAGATAGTCTGGACGGACTTAAGTAGAGACCTTTGACAATGTCTCACATGGCAGACGGTTAGGAAGCTAAGAGCGATGGGATCCAGGGCGATTTGGCAAATTGGATCCTAAATTGGCTGAGAGCATGAAAAAATCTGAAGACTGGAAGCCTGTGACCAGTGGTGTACCACAGGGTTCAATGCTGGGTTCTCGCTGGTTGTTCTGTACATTAATTTAGACATGGAAGCCCTAAGTGTACAGATGATAGTACATAGAACAGTACAGGCCCTTCGGCCCACGATGTTGTGCCGAACTTTTACCCCAAACCTAAGGTCTATCTAACCTCCACCCCTACCTTATACTATCATCCATATGCCTATCTAATAGCTGCTTAAATGCCCCTAATGAGGCCGACTCCACTACTCTCTCCAGCAATGCATTCCATGCCCCTACCACTCTCTGAGTAAAGAACCTATCTCTGACATCTCCCCTACATCTACCTCCACTCACTTTAAAACTATGCCCCCTTGTAAAAGCTACCTCCACCTTAGGAAAAAGTCGCTGGCTGTCCACACTATCTATACCTATCATTCTACTCTTATCATTTTGTACACCTCTATCAAGTCACCTCTCATCCTTCGTCATTCTAAAGAGAAAAGCCCTAGCTCTCTCAGCCTTTACTCATAAGACCTACCCTCCATGCCAGGCAACATCCTGGTAAATCTCCTCTGCACCTTTTCCAACCCTTCCACATCTTTCCTGTAATGAGGCGACCAGAACTGGACACAATACTCCAGATGTGGCCGAACCAGGGTTTTGTATAGCTGGAGCATAACTTCACGGCTCTTGAACTCGATCCCTCTATTAATGAAATCTAACACACCATACGCCTTCTTAACAATTCTATCCACCTGGGTGGCAGCTTTGAGGGAACTGTGGACATGAACCCTGAGATCCCTCTACTCCTCCACACTGCCAAGAATCTTTCTGTTAACCCTGTATTCTGCTTTCAAGTTTGTCTTTCCAAAATGAATCACCTCACACTTTTCAGGGTTAAACTCCATCTGCCACTTCTCAGCCCAGCTCTGCATCCTATCAATGTCCCTTTGTAATCTAGTACAGCCCTTCGCTATCCACAACTCGACCCACCTTCATATCCTCCGCGAACTTACTAATCCACCCTTCCACTCCTACATCCAAATCATTTACAAAAATCACAGATAGAAGAGGACCCAGAACTGATCCTTGTGGTACACGACTCATAACTGAGCACCATGTTGAATATTTTCCGTCCACTATCACCCTTTGTCTCCTAAGGGTCAGCCAATTCTGAATCCAATCTGCCACATTTCCCCTTATCCCATGCCTCCTTACTTTCTGCATGAGCCTACCATAGGGAACCTTATCAAACACCTTACTTAAATCCATGTATACCACATCCACTACTCTACTTTCATCCACGTGTTTGGTCACCTCTTCAAAGAATTCAATAAGGTTTGTGAGGCATGATCTATCCCTCACAAATCCATGCTGACTCTCATGAATCAAACTGTGCCCATCCAAGTGATCATAAATCCTATCTCTCGGAGCCCTTTCCAATAATTTACCCACCACTGAAGTAAGACTAACTGGCCTGTAATTTCCAGGGTTATCCCTATTCCCTTTTTTGAACAAGGGAATGATGTTTGCCACTCTCCAATCTTCTGACACTATACCCTTGGACAGTGAGGATGAAAAGATCATCGCCAAAGGCCCTATGATCTCTTCCCTCGCTTCCCATAGAATCCTTGGATAAATCCCATCAGGCCCAGGGGATTTATCTGTCTTCAAGTTCCTCAAAATTCCTAGTACATCTTCCTTACTAACATCCACCTCCTCTAGCTCCTCTGTTTCTGATGCAACTTGGTGGGGTAAATAGGGAGGAAGAAAGCCTGAGACTATAGGATCACATAGACTGGCAGATCAGTGATGTTGAACAAATAGAACTTAATCCCGAAAAGTGTGAGGTGATGCCCCCTTGGAGGACTAACAATTCAAGGGAGTACACGTTCAATGGTAGGAACCTAGGACGTACAGAGGATCAGAGGGATCTTGGTATACATATCTATTAATCCCTGAATACAGTAGGACAATTAGATAAGTTGATTAAGAGTGCAAATGTGATTTCCCTTTGTTAGTCAAGCATAAATAGAAATTGCTCAAGGAAGTCAGCAGGTCTGGCAGAATTTGTAGAATGAAAGCAGAATTAATGTTTTAAGTTCCTTGAGCATTCTTCAGAACTGATTGTAGCTAGGAAAAGGTGGTATTCACCTGATAACAGGGGCAAGTGGGTTTGGGAAGGTGGGAGGGGAAAGAGGAGAGAGGAGGTTGTGGTGGGAAGTGGTGAGTGGATAGGTAATGATGGAACCCAGTTGGTGGGAGGGGGTGGGTGTGTGGACCGAGAGAGAGAGACAGTATATTAGGCAGACAAAAGGATAGTGCATAGTAAGCCAAGGAAGGTAAAAAGCTTATAATGAGGAAAATGAGTAGGTGAATATGGGTTGGCTGCGCTGAAAGCAGACCATGTCGTGACAAGTTATGGGATTGGGTAATGGTGTTCAGGCATTTAAAATTAATTAACTCAACATTGAGTATGGAAGGCTACAGGGTTCCCAAAAGGAAATGCTGTTCTTCTAGCTTGTGTGAGCATCACTGGAGCACTGCAGCAGGACCAAGAAAGAGATGTTGGCCATGGAGATCAGTGGTATGTTGAAGTGGCAGACAACTGGAAGCTTGAGATCACTTTTTAAGGATAGAATGTAGGTGTACTGCAAAGTGGCCGCCCAGTCTGCGTTTTATCTTCCCAGGGTAGAGGCAACCACATTACAAACAGCGAGTAGAGTGAACTAGATTAAGTGAAGTGCAGGTAAATTGCTTCTTCACCTGGAAGGTGTGTCTGGAGCCTTGGATGGTAAGGGGCAAGTGTTGCACCTTCTGCTTTTGAGTGGAAGGCCTACAGTGTGGAAATAAGCCATTTGGCCCAACAAGTCCACACCAACCTTCTGAACAGCATTGCACCCATCCCTCCCCCCCCTTTCCACCCCACCCTTACTTACCCCCTCCCCTTCAATGTGGTCTCCTCTACACTGGGGAGACGAAATGCAGATGGGCTGACTGCTTTGCAGCACACCTGCATTCTGTCCACAAAAAAGCTTCCACTTACCTGCCACTTTAGCACACAGCTGTGCTCCCTGGCCAACATTCTGTCTTGGGCCTGCTATATTGCTCCAGCAAGGGTCAGCATGAGGTGGAAGAACAGCATCTCATCTTCCATTTGGGGACTGTGCAACCTCCAGGACTCAATATCAAGTTCAATAATTTTAGAGCCTGTACACTTCCTCTCACGTTCTTTACCCACCCCAGTGCCTGTTGTGACATGATCTCTTTCAACATTGCTAACCCACTATCACCTACTCTTAGTCCCCATTATCAGCTTTTATCCTTCCCTGGCTTACAATTAACCATCCCTTTATCTGCCGAATGTTGTTATTTTATTTCCCACACTTGGTGTCTCTCTCCCTCTCTCTCTCTTTGTGTTCTGTCTGCACCTATCCGCTCACTCCTTTTTCAACTTTTGCGAGCTACTATCAGTTCTGGAGAAGAGTTGCTGGACTCAAAACGTTGACTCTGCTTTCTCTCCACAGATGCTACCAGACCTACTGATTTTCTCCAGCAATTTCTGTTTTTGCCCCTTATTAACCTTGGGCTCTTAGTTCCATATTGTGAAGTTCCACTGCTGTTTGTTATCCTTTGTTTTAAATATCTATCGACAGTCAACAGATATTTCTTAACCAAAAAAGCATACCTGTCAGTAATAATGTACATTCCTCCTCAAATCTGTCTTTTTTCTTACAATGCAACAATCTCCTACCCTGGCTTATAAATAGTCCATTAATATATGCAGGTTACATTCGTGGGCTTATCCTGGTTCTCTTGGGTTTGCTCTAAGGAGTTTAGCCTTTCCAGAATAGGGAAGGAGGGAGAGTAGGGGAGACTGACTCTGAATCGACAGATATTATTACCAATTCCATAATTTGGCCACAGGACTTCAGTTATGGACGTCCATTGTGTGATCTGATGGCCTCACCAGCCAACTTCTGAGTAGCATGCTGAAAATGCCATTTGTCAGGTTGGGACTTCAACTGTTTTTGGAATGCTGGGAGGCAATGTTTGGCCAATTTCTGTAAATTACATGTTATAAACTGCCTTTCTTTCAATGCCTTATTTTAGCTTTTAGAGGTTGGTTTTTAACTTAATTATGTTCTTGCTGAAGGTTGAACAAAAGAACTGAGACGGAGATATTTTTATGCAGCCGGAGAGTAATCTGATTGTAATCTGAAAGCAGTGCTTAAAGAGTTGAGATTTGTAGTTTAATACGTATCGTTGATCCTTGATTAGTTTGCCATCTTGATTACATTGAATCATGGTAACTTAGTTACATGGAGATTATATTATACTCTGATAATTTAGTTGACTGTTCAACTTCATCATCCTCCCCAACTGAGTTTCTATCTTAAACAAATTCTCTCCAGATGCAGCTTGGAAAATCTCTAGAGTGAACATATGCCAAGATTTGACCTGTACGGTTCGATTTTAAAACTATTGAGACAATAATGATCTAGGGTATCTCTTGTGACCTTGCAGGTAAAGTGGGTATAATATCTTTCCTAATTAACTTGCTTTCCCTGCTCCAACCCTCTCCTAAAGTTTTTCAAATGTTTTTCTCCTTCTGTCTGTCCTTTTATCATAGAAACATGGAATTTTGTAGTACAGAAGTAGGCCATTTCACTCATTGTGTCTGTACCAGCTTCCACAAAAAGTTACTCAGTTAGTCCCATTCTCCAGCCCTATCTCTCTAACCTCTAAATTCATCACTTTCAAATAATATATATCCATATATTCAAATAATATATATATATATCTTAATTGAAACCGCCTACAGAATCTGCCTCCACCACACTCCCAGGCAACGTGTTCCAAATCCTAACAACTCTGGGTAAAAAAGGTTCTCCTCATCTGACTCCTAGCTTTCTTGCCGACAATCTTGAAATTGTGCCTCCTAGTTACTGACATACCAACTAGTGGAAAAAGAATATCTTTCTTTACTTTGTCAAGATTGTTCATATTTTTGAACACCTCAGAAGATCACCCCTTAATCTTCTTTGCTCCAAGGAGAATAATCCCAATTTCTCTGATCTTTCCATGTATCTAAAATCCCTCATTCCTGGTGTCATTCTTAGAAATCTCCTTCGAACTCTCTCCAGGGCTTTAACTTTCTTCCTTAAATAAGGTGCCCAAAACTGAACACATTACTCCAAATGTGGTCTGACCAATGATTTATAGAGATATAGCATCACTTCCTTACTTTTATACTCTTTGCCTCTATTTATAATCCCAACCTCCTTTAAACCTACTTAACAACTGTTTCAACGTACCTGGCCACCTTCAGAGAATTATGCATATGAACTTCGAGGACCCTCTGCTCCTGTATTCCCCTCAAAGTATTGTCTCTCTATGTTTCTTCTATCAAAATGACATTTCTCTGCATTGAAATTTGTTTGCCAGTTGTCTGCACATTTGACCAACTTGTCAATGCCCCTCTGAAGTCACTCAGCATCTTCCTCGCAATTCACTATTCTTCCTAATTTAGCATCTTCTGCGAATTTAGAGATTTTGCCTTCAACATCCATGCCCAAATCTCTTACATAAATCTGAAAAAGCAAGGGTCCCAACACTGATCCCTGGGGAACACAATTTTCAACTCCTCTCCAATTTGAGGTATATTCATGTTTACTTACCCTCTATTTCCTATCTACTAACCAACTTCTAATCCATGCTGTAAAGGACCAATCAATCCCAAACATTTCTAATTTGCTAATCAACTGCCATGTGCACCATATTAAATGCTTTCTGACAGTCCAAATATACAAGATCCACATCCCTCATCAATACCCCCATCCACTGTCTGTGTCACCTCATCAAATTCGTCAAATTCGTCAGAATGGTCTGGCCTTGACAAAGCCATGTTGATTATCTAGTGTTAACTTATTTTTATGTAAGTGTATATTTATCTTAACTCGTATTATGGCATCCATCAGTTTTCCTCACTATTGATACTAAGCTGACAGATCTGTAGTTTCCTGTGTTATCCTTTTTGCTTCTTTCTTAAACAATAGTGTTATGTGCAATCCTCCAGTCCCCCAGGACTGTGTTCCCAGAGGCCTGGAAAATTTCTGTCAATGGCTCTGCAATTTTCTGCCTTATCCCTGACAATCGAGGGTACATCCCATCTGGGTCTGGTGATTTCTCAACCTGGTCCGCTGCCAACCCTTTTTAGTATTTTTTTAAAATCTGTCATTATACTGCTCAGTTGCGCAACACCCAAATTTTCAAGTAGGCTGTTGTCACCATTTGCTAATTTAGTAAAGACTGAAGCAAAGTACTCATTTAGTATCTCTGCCATACCCTTTGCTTCAGTGAGCAGCTTACCTTGCTTGTTCCTTATGGACCCTACTCTATCGTTTACTAACCTTCTACTATTAGTATGTTTGAAGAACATTCTTATTAACGTGATGGATGACCCCACTCTTTGAAAACTGATTTTATTGTGGGCTTCATGTGAGAAAACATGGTTATTGTCTTTTCTTTCATTACATTTCTCTCCATCTCCACCTACCCAACTGAGGAGAAATTGCAGGTGACCTGTGTTCCAATGCAACAATCACAGACATTGCTGGAAAAGCTCAGTAGGTCTGGCAGCATCTGTGAAGAGAAATCAGAATTAACATTGAGTCTGGTGACCCTTCCTCAAAACTTCCTCACCAGCCTCAAAACATTAACTCTGATTTCTCTTCACAGGTGCTGCCCGACCTGCTGAACCTTTGCAGCAACTTCTGTTTTACAGCATCCGCAGCTCTTTTGGTTTTTATTTAGTGTTCCAATGCATCTTTGCCAACTGTTTTTCATCTCTTCTGCTTCTTAACTATTTCCCTCAAATTTTGTTTGCCTTCACAATTGAACTTTTTTTTGAAGTTGTCAAATTAGAAAATGAGAAAGACCATCTTCTGGTTTGTCCTAATTCTCAAGACTATTAGAAATTATAATGCTTGGAAATAAATTTTCTCTTTTTTATGTTTGTGAGAATCGTTGGCTTAAATTCAATTTTGTTTTTAAATGTTATTTGTTGAGCAGCTACTGCTTCTTTTCCCTTTCCAAACCCCTGTGCCGAAAAACATCACCACCATCCAGACTGAGTTCAATGAAGCCTTCATTAGCTGCACCTAAGCGTTGTGCTTCAATGTGTGTTTCCACTAGAACCGCAAGTCATGTAGTAGTTTCCCGAGCTGCTAGGACGAATAGTGAAGCAGCATCACAACGTAGACGTTCACTCCTGACCAGAAAAAGTCCAGCACAAGGTTGCTCGAAAATGCCACTGACTGATTGGGGGAAACAGACAGATGGTGCCAGCAACTTGAAAGCCTTTGAGAAAGGAGTGCTAAGATCACCATGGGTGATTCAACACAGGTTCCTTCCATCTAAATTTTGCTGGAACAGAATACCAAATCCAAAGTGGCTGTGCGGCCAAAAGAAAATTCTTTGAATGTAACGTATTGTCTTTAAGTTCTGACAGAAAATTTACAGGACAAATTCCCTTAAAAACAAAAGATGTAGATGTAATATTGCAACAAAACTTACTCAACATTAGTGTTTCTAGAAATACCTCTGAACAGGAGCAAATGCGATTGACCTGTTGCCCACTACCCATTATGGAATCAAGCAACTTGTCACATTTATTCACTAGTGTCATTACAGTACAATGTCTACATATAGCTACTGAGTTAAATGATAACAGCGAGCTATGTCATCTCCATTTGGTTGATGCAATAAATCCAGTTCCTGTGACCAATATTTCCCTGAAAATTAATGAAGCAATATACCATTGGACTGTTCAGAGGTCTCTCCAGCAAAATTGCCACAAGGTGGCAGCACCTCAGATTGCTAGAGGAGAACGGTATCAGTCGTCATCAAATTCTATCAGAAATCTAAACTGAAGATCCGCCTGTTGTTAAGAAAACAAATGATTATGTTGAGCCTGGAGCCCTGCCTTTGTCCCCTTCGGAAATTTGATCCAGTTAAATGAAACTATGTTGCAAAGGAACCTGAATGACCAGGAAGATGGTGCACTAAAGCGTACTCTCTCTTCCAATAGTATACTGAGCAAGTTGCCCACTTTGTCTAACTGCATGCTGACCTTATCTAGAGTTAATCCAGTTGAATGGACAATACCTCTGACAGTTAATATAAATGTAACCTGTAATTTATCAAAGCATGAAAACAGCACTGGAAATGACCTGAAGGTAATTAAGTCATTTAATTGCACAGTGCAGTTAAATGGTACCATGATTGTAGATGATTTTAGAAATGTACCTTTAGTCTTTCAAATGAAGATAATATGGGATATCACTTCATGGTAACTGGCTACTTTCATTGCAAGCTGCCTCCATCTATGAAAGTAATGGTACCATTTAACTGCACTACGGTTATGGATGACTGGAAAAATGCAACTTTTCCAGCAAAACGTAAAAACAGTCTTGAAATAGATAGCAAGGCATCTGCCTTGTCTGGATGCAAGTTACTTCAATCTATAAATGACAGGGTGCAGTTGCGTGGAATTGTAACTGTCTTTGACTGCAATGCTACATTTGATGCATCAAAGCATGATAACAGTTTGGAAAATCCCAACAAATCACCAGGAGGCTTGAATGAAGTCAGGCTGACTTCTGAGAATCTTAAACTTGGAAGGCAATGTGATGTGGGTTGTGGATCAATGTTACAGCGAGTAGAGACGGGTGGAAACAGTGGTATCTCAAAATTGATTCTGGATTTGGGGAAAGGGGGTGATTCTATAGGTATGGAAAAAGATCAGTTGAAGCCGATCCAGGTGGTGATTGTGATTTCACCTGTTCTGTAGGATTACATAAAGGGGTTTGTGGTTTAGAAAGAAACCAGCATGGAGAACTAAGTATTTGTGAGTATTCAGATGTTGTTCCTGATATAATGAGTTTAGAATGGGCTCCAACCATATTTCTACTCCATACCTCAAAAAGAGGATGGAGTTTCCAGAATATCTACAACTTGACCATTCTTACGTAGCTTCTTCTGCCACTATTCAGGATGACGTGCATGTTCGAGCAGAAGAGTTCCTTGATGAACACAGAAGTTCTGGCACTGTTGCCACTGAAACTAGTAATGGAAAAATTTCAAGTGCACCAAGATCTGCACAGCCATTAAAGCAAGCCAAAATTGGAACTGAGAATTCCTTGAAACGTGTTTATCTCCTAGGAGCCAGAAGAAAAAATATTAGTGAAGTATGTAACTCTGGAGCTGAAAAAGACGTGTACTCCTTCTCAAATATGCAAAGTAAGTTGTTTTGTTGTGGAGAGAGGAAGAAAATCTTCAACACAATCACCTGGTGTTTCAAAGATGTGCCTTTCAAAAAAGCTGAGCAGTGGAATAGGGACTGGGCAAACTGTAAGAGATAGCAAGCTTTCATTGTGCCACATTGGAGTGAATACCAAAGTAAGTTATATTTTCATAACCATCTTATTTATTCAGCATTCTGATTTCAACTAGGGGAAATCACTTGTGTGTATTGATTAATATGGCATACAAGCATTGTAGTGTCTTAGTTGATGCAAGACTGGCTGGTCTCCTGTGAGCTAAGACTGATTTCCTTTTTCTCCCAATTGAAAATCTTGAGTACCTGGTTTTTGTGTTCTCCCAGACTTAGAAGGACTGACAGTTCAGTTATCGAGTCACACAGCATGGAAACAGACCCTTTGGTCCTACAGTCCATGCTGACCATAATCCCAAACTAAACTAGTCCCAACTGCCTGTGCTTCGACCATATGCCTCCAAACATTTCTTATTCATATACTTATATGAATGTCTTTTAAATGTTGCAACTGTGCCCACATCCACCACTTCCTTTGGAAGTTCATTCCACATGAACCATTCTGTGTTTAAAAAAAATTGCCCCTCTTGCCTTTTTTTTAATCTTTCTCCTCTCAGGTTAAAAATATGCACCCTAGTCTTGAAATCCCTGCCCTAGGGAAAAGACAACTGCTATTCACCTTGTATATACCCCTGATTTTATAAACCTCTATAAGGTCACCCCTCAACCTCCTACGGTCGAATGAAAAAAGTTCCAGCCTATCCAGCCTCTCCTTATAACTCAAACTCTCCATTCCTGGCAACATTCTGGTAAATCTTTTCTGAACCCATTTCAATTTAATAATACCCTTCCTATAACAGAGCGACTAGAACTGGATACAGATGATGGGTGAAATAGGAACATAGGACTAGGAGTATGCCATTCAGCCTGTTGAGCCTACCCCAGTATTCATTATGCTCATGGCTGATCAAACACATCAATGCCTTTTACCTATTGCATCCCCATAGCCCTGTATGCCACTGGTAATCAGAAATCTATCAATCTCTACCTTTAAACATACTCCAAGACTGGGCTTCCAAAGCCCTCTGTGATAGAGAGTTTGAAAGATTCACAACCATCTGAGTAAAATGATTTCTCCTCATCCTGGACCCAAGTGGTATCTCCTTATTTTAAATTGTGCTACCTGGTTTGAGATTCCCTAACCAGGGGAAACACCATGCATACATCAATCCTGTGTATCCTTTTAAGTATTTTAAGTTTCAATGAGATCACCTCTCATTCTTCAAAACTCGAGAATACAGGCCCAGTTTACCCAATCTATCTTCATAGTACAGTCCTATCATCTCAGGAACAAATCTAGTAAACCTTCGGGAGTTCCTGAAACATTAACTGTGTAGCATGCTTCTGCTTTCCAGAATCTGCTGTACTTTGTGGCTGTTCTTTCAGAAGAGACCTGTTTGTTTTTACTAGTCGCTTAGTTATGTGAATATTAATCTTTGGCATGGTCACCAATTACCAGAAGTTGTATCACATTTGCACAACTGCAGTATCCTCTAATCTGCTTTTGCATTCCACTTTTAACAAGTAGTTGGAATAGATATGACCTAGCATGATGTGCTGGCAGACTCTTTGTACAATATCCCTGCTCTCACTGGAACGGTTCTCCCAATGGGGAATTATTTGATTTATAAATACCGTGCTCTCTTTCAGATGACTTCTAAAGCCAAAGCAAATCAACCTTTGACTAAAAGTATCTCAAAGATACCTGGAATAAACAAAGGGTCTTCACTGGTCTGATCCAAATTGATTGTGCAGGAAACAAGAGCAAATTTCAAACAAGTATCTGTCTACTAGAGGTAAATATGGTATGCTGAGAAAAGATGTGTTAATGCACTCCATGAAAGGAAAGGAGGTTGTGAACACTTCTGAGCTACTAAGTACTACATATTCTGTTCACTCTTGCACCTACAGTGTGTTCTAGATTTTCAGGAACCAACATTGATGAACAACTAAATGTCTCTGAACTTGTTTTGGGATCACAAATATGCAAATTTTGATGTTCCGTCATGATAGGTGTTTGTAGTCTTATTCAGGTACAGTATATGTGTTTTGAACTTGAATTTTTAAAAAATTTAATATTGAATTTCAGCTTCATTTCAATAATTGTTTTTAACGTATGTTTATTGCATAATAGTATGCTTGGTGACATATGAGACTTTAAATTTGTCATCAATAATTCCCATTATCTTAGTACATTTTATAGGCCATTTAATCTAAAATATTTATATTGATCCAGAAGGATTAAAGAAAATACCTTTTTACTTCGCACTTCTTACTGTTGCAAATCTATCTGTTCTAAATGATTCTAAAGACTTCTTTCTCAGTATTTGAGCCTGACCCTTCTGTTGAACCCAATATTCAAAGTCCCACCGTAGGACAGGAGTGGTTCACCTAGCCCCTTGAGCCTGTCTCTTCTTCATTGATACCATGGCTGATCTGTGACTTAACTCTCCATATACCTGCCTTTGCCTCATGTTCCTTGCACCTTTTTAGCTAACAAAAATATGAATCTAGATTCAGTTGCAGTTTGTGGAAAATTCCAAACCGCTCCCACCTTCTACATGAAGAAGGTTTTTAATTTCAATTTTGATAACTCTTGTTCTAGTTTTCAGACTATGTCCCCAGTTAGTTGAAATGGTTTCTCTCAATTTACCCAATCCATTGCCTGGACTTCAATCAAATCATCTTTTAACCTTGCAAACTCCAAGCAACACAATGCTAACTTGTGTGATCTCTCTTCGAGCTTGACACTGAGAGTCTTGATCATTTTTGTGAATCTGAATTCCATCCAAGGGCAGCTTATCCTCTTGTGTTTAAAACAGTCCTCAATTCTCCAGGTTTTGACTAATGAGGGATTAGAATAGCTTCAAGCATGACTTCTGTTCCTTGTGTATTTTTGTTGTCTAAATATCATAGCCACCATTGACTTTTTCAGATCTATGTACCTAGACCCCACGTCTCTTTGAATTTTTGCTGCTTCTTGCCTCTCACCATTGCAAAACTACCTGGACTACCTTCTTTAGAACAAAAGTAGATGTCCTTACAGTTTCCTACCTTGCACTATTAACCTGTGAAAATCAAGATGCCTCAATATTTAAAATCATTTCCCACTGACTTGCTTGCTCTTTTCTGTATATATATGTATACATTATTTTTTGTAAATTTTCTAATCAAATAAAATTTATCAAGATCTTGCCATGTTGTCAGCATATTTTCTGAAGATTGGCTGCATCATTTGACTCTTTGTTTATAGGTTTTGACTCCCAACACCCCTTGTCCCCAATAAAAAATTACCTGAGGGTTTTCCCTGAATTATTCCTTTCTTTGTTCTATTCCACTATTCCTGACTTCTGCCTTTTTTTTTGTTCTTTATTTGTCATCTTCACTCATCTTTATTCCTTCGAAGTACCAGGACCAATGTACCAAATCCCCCTCTCCCTTCAGCACAGTACCTAACTGAGTGCTGCAATAATATCTCCACAACCACAAAGGTGCAGACAGCAAATGATAGGAATTTATGAAAAGTGCAGCCAATTTGCTAGTTTGGTATTTCATATTCCATTTGCAGTCACTTCTGAAGCCAGTATAGATATTTCCTAATCAATCTGCTCAGATGTTATTCAACATCCAAAAGCAGATGGGACCTGAACCCAGACATCCTGGCTCAGAGGTAAGGACACAACTGTCCTACAAGAGCTCCCTTGTGAAGTCAGTATGTGATAGTCAACAAAAATTTGTGAGATAGATACAATATGAATGCTGCAATTTGTATCAGTCCCCACTAGAGAGGTTTTGTTTTTAATATAAAGCTGTGTTAGTCTTGGAGCTTCAGTGAGGGTGTTCATTTACATTTGATGTCTAATCATTCAGCAGTCATATTTGCAATGGTTAATTTGGCTGTAGGATGATGATCTGAAAGCATGTTAGAAGTGAGTAGTGTTTCAAGTAATTGTTTCAACTGTGTTGATGGAAGGATCCCTCATTCAATAAAGCACTTTCACATTTGCTTGGTAAGCTGGAAAGTCAACATTGATCCCAATTTGAGAACCATCGCTGTAATTTTTATTTGTCTACACATCTTGGGTGAGTCTGAATTTGATGGACATTATGCTAAATTTGGAAAAATTATATGCAGTGTCCCTAGCATAAATTTACTGCATTTACAGACTTTAGGCAGAGTATATGTGGCAGAATGCCAGTAGCAAACTTAGTTAAACTTGAGTGAACTGAATGGTTAGCTCTTGCCCAACTTTAGTGAAAGGTTAATCATGAAGTTAGTGAAACTTGAAATGAATTATTCAGCCATCAAAAAAGTGTAGAATATGATCTCTAACTTCACCAAAATTCTGAGACTGCACTGCTAGCTATGCTCAATTCAAGGAAGTTTTGGAAAATTAAAACTAATGCAATGGCTATCTCACTAACTGTTACTTTTAAGATCCTAAGATGAAGTACATCAGGATCCAGGCACTTACGTTTTTCCTGAGTTACTCTATTCCTTCTTTTTCTTGATTTATCACACCTCCTGGGATGCTCTATAGCAAAGACTAATGCAAAATACCTGTTCAATTTATCTGCCATTTCCTTATTTTAGACTTTACCAGCTTTCCCTTGTATTTCTCTTGTATTCTAATTTTTCCTCCTTATTCATTTTTTGGTTCTTTCTTTTGCTATGTTTTGTGTTATGTCCAATCTTCTGACTTGTCACCTGTCTTTCCACAATTATATGTTTTATTTTAAATTTGTTACTATTTTTAACTTTGCTGGTTAACCACGGATCATAGGTCTTCCCCTGGGAATTTTTCTTGCTCTTCAGAATAAATGGATTGCTGTTGTTGTAGGTCTGAAACATCTGAGATCCTCAATTACTGTCAAGTGAACTAATACTGAAAAATGTCACATCTTTATGCATCCTATGACAACTGCAAGAGTGTATTTGGCACAAAATCAGTACTGACAACATATGGCCTATTTGCTGTTCAATCTGTCACTGCATTAGTAGGCTCACCAACTGTTTAATTTTAATCATCAATGCCACTGCTATCACTTACTACTGGTCCTATGGTCAACTTATGTGTCTCTTTCCTGACTGCCATACTTTAAAATAACAGTCTGATTTAAATTGTGAGGTACATATTGTTCAGGCAACAGGAAAAAAGACAGAACACCTTTTCAAGTTTTGGTAAACAGAGGAAACACATTGACAGATGTAACAGCCAACAGTGTATCTTGTCAATCCTGTACCTTGCTCAAATAGAAATTTGGGAATTACATATTCATTGAATATGTAATTTGAATATGTAGATTGATATACATTGAATATTACGTATTCAGCTTTATACAAATATTTCAAATTGTACAGCAGTTGCCATATGTTTGAACCTCGAAGGTAAAATGAGTATGAAAATGTTTTTCTATTCTGTGGTTCCCCGGTGCCCACTGCATAGTAACTCACCTGGTACACTGCATCAAAGAACCTGGACCTATACATAAAATATTTCCTTGGTCATACCAATGCACTTCCACAGTCTGCTTATGTACCTACTCAGACAGGAAATAGTAGGAAATAAATGGGTTCTTTTCCGGGTAGCAAGCAGTGACAAGTGGGCTACCACAAGGATCAGTGCTTGGGCCCCAGCTGTTCACAATGAATATAAATGATATGGAAGAGGGAACAAAATGCAATGTTTTGCAAGTGTTATGATGACCCAAAACTGGGCAGGATTGTAAATTTGTGAGGACGATTCAAGGAAGTTTCAAGGTTTCGATAAGTTGAGTGAGTGGTAAACACATGGCAGATGCAGTATAATGTGGGTAAATGGTATGAAAAACAGAAAAAAAGAATATTATTAAAATGGTGATATTCAGAAATTGAATGTACAAAGAGACCTGGGTGTCCAGATCTGAAGGTAGACAGGTAGGTCAGCAAACAATTAGGAACACAAATGGTATATTGGCCTTCATTTCAAGTGAACTGGAGTTCAGAATCTGAGGTGTTCTGTTGCAGGTGATCAGGACTTTGGTGAGACCACACTAGGAGTATTGTATGCAGTTTTGGCCCCCTTACTGAAGAAAGAGAGTCCAGCGAAGGTTCACCAGACTGATAGTAAGGATGATAGGACAGTCCTATAAAGAGACATTAGTTTGACTGGGCTTGCATTTATTAGAGTTTAAAAGCAAGAGGGGAGTCTGATTGAAATATATGAAATTCTAAAAGAACTGGACAGATTGGATGCAGGAAGTACTGAAGAAGAGTCATATTGAACTCGAAAGGTTAACTGTTTCTCTCTTCACAGATGCTGTCAGACCTGCTGAGTTTTTCCAGCACTTTGTCTTTGTTTTTATTAGATGTTTTCCCTGGTTAGGGATTCCAGAACCAGGGGTCACAGTCTCAAGGTATGGCATAGGCCATTTAGGACTGAGATGGGGAAATATTTCTTCACTCAGAGGGTAGTAAATTTGTGGAATTCTCTACCACAGAATGTTGTGGAAGCCAAGACATATATAATAATAGATAATAAAGGCATCAAGGGCTATGGGGAGAAATGGGATTTTGGCATAAGAGAGAGGATTGGCCATGATCACATTGAAAGTTGGAGCAGATTTGAAAGCTGACTGGCCTGCTCCTGTTCCTATTTCTATGACATTTCATCTTTAATGGAAGGTGCATTAGTTACTTGGTGTGTCTTCGTTGATTGTTATCCCTTACCTGTGGTGTAACGGAAACTCCAGCAGCCAGATGATGGTGAGGGAGACTGCCAAGTTGGGCAGCTTGAGCAATTGTGTGCTGGGACTT